ATATATATATATATTATATATGTATGTATTTATATATTTATGCTTATTTATATTTATATATACTCATTTTATTTTTATACTCATAATTATATACATAAATATATATATAAATATATATATATCTATTTTTTATATATAAATATATATTTATGTACAATTATATGGGTATATATACATATCTATATATGTATATGTACGTATACGTTTATACATGTATATATTAATTAATTAATTAATTAATTAATTATATTTGTTAGTTAGCTACTTTTATTAATTAATTAATTAATTAATTAATAAATTAATTAATTATATATTATATTATATATATAATTACCCTGTAGATCTAGATCTGTATGTATTTGTTGATCTTTATTTGTCCATCCTTCTTCTATTTGTTCAATTTGTTCCCTACTTAGAGGAATTGCATTTGCTCTCTCTGCATTTGTTAACGGCTGAATACAAACCCTAAACCCTAAACCCTAAACCCTAAACCCTAAACCCTAAACCCTAGGAAATTATAGAGTAGCATACAATAGAGAGAGAGGTAGCAGAAGACCGGTTTAGGTATGCAATAATAAACACTAAATAGTACAGGAAAATATTCTTACAATAAACCCTCAACCCTAAACCCTCATAAACCCTAAACCCTCATAAACCCTAAACCCTCATAAACCCTAAACCCTCATAAACCCTAAACCCTAAACCCTAAACCCTAAACCCTACTCGAACAAGCCATGATGCTAATGCTTTATTTTCAATGAGTGGTTGCCATTCAGAAGAATTCCATCCATTCTCCTCCAATACACCACTTGCATGACAACGGTCTCTGCATACATAAACCCTAAACCCTAGTAAACCCTAATTAACCCTAATAAACCCTAGAATAAACCCTAGGCAATGTGATCGAACGCCAAAGCCTTTCCCTATAAACCCTAAACCCTAAACCAACTCTGTACGACGAACTAAACATTCAATGTAAAGGGTCCATTCAAAACCCTAAACCCTAGTAAACCCTAAACCCTAGTAAACCCTAAACCCTAAACCCTAGTAAACCCTAAACCCTAATATACCTGCATACAATAACGACGACTCCTTGTGCCTCGGAGACGAGCATCCCCAATTGAAGAACATTCTTTACACCGCAAATAAAACACTCCAATTTTGTATCTCCTGAGGTGTACAGACACCTCACACTCCTAAACCCTAAACCCTAAACCCTAGATATAATAAACCCCTTAAACAAGCGAGATAGAAAGAAGAGACTGAGTCAGCAGCAATCAACAAGCAGCATCCTTATTGCTACCTATAAAAGTATGAGGGCTTATGCCTATGTATATATATATATATATATATATATATATATATA